ATCTATTTATTTTATAATTTAATCGATCAAAATCCATTTCATAATAAGAATCCATTAAAATCTATTTATTTTATAATTTAATCGATCAAAATCGATTTCATAATAAAAATCAATTAAAATCTATTTGTTTTATAATTTAATCGATCAAAATCCATTTCATAATAAAAATCTATTAAAATCTATTTATTTTATAATTTAATCGATCAAAATCCATTTCATAATAAAAATCCATTGAAAAAGATTTATTTTATAATTTAATCGATCAAAATCCATTTCATAATAAAAATCTATTGAAAAAGATTTATTTTATAATTTAATCGATCAAAATCCATTTCATAATAAAAATCTAGGAAAATCTATTTATTTTATAATTTAATCGATGCAAATCCGTTTTATAATAAAAATCTATGAAAATCTATGGTAAGCCTTCAGAAGGTCTATGACTCATGCTTTTACCAGCAGATTCGATTCTCGGTAATGCACTTTAGCTCGAGAGAATCATATTGTGCAGTTTAAATATAAAAAAATTCTAAATTTAATACTGATTCGAACTATGTAATTATTATTGCTAAGTTGTTTATATAAACACGATTTTGAGAGCAAAAAATAATTAGTATATACAGCCATCTATAACATTCATCGTATTGGTGGTTTGCTATATGCAACGAGAGGATTAATGGCGGGCGCGCTAACATTCTTACTTACTTTTTTCGATCTTTTATATATCACTCTTTTTTTTAAAATAAATGATCATATTGTTATATGCGTTACTACATAACTTTTAAAAAGCTAAATAAGCGATAACAATGTCTTTCACGTGTGAATTATGTCCTCGAACAGGAGTTAAAAAAAAGATCGACTTTATGACAATACAAAATATTGAGGTCGAAGAAAAAATAAAGGCAGCTTATAGGAGTTTACATGGAATATCTTTGTCCAAAACAATATTATACAAAAAAGTACATACAAAATGTTATAAAAAATATCATAGTCATTATTATACACAAACATGCCAGATGGGACAATCATTAAGCAGAATACCACTTGTCGATCTTACAAATTATCAGCAAGTTTCATCAATGAAGCAATTGATAGGCTACAAGGAATCATGCTATATGCAGAGAGCTGTAAACCAAATCGATATGTCCGAAAAAACGAAATGCATACAAAGGTTAAATACATTATCACTTACACCAGATGTTAATCAAAATGTAATTAGTTTTGCATAATTACATTAATGAGCGTAAAGATGAATAATGTTTTTTTATTTTAGTTAACATTATTCTCGTCATTACCTTCAGAAGCGAACAAGGAAAATTTGAGTTCAACGTCATATGATGATTATGATGAACAGTCAACGATTCCTCCAGTATGTAAGACATTTATTTTGAAAAGATAACATTAAATTTCTTAAAAGGAACAAATAGTTGTTATTTGGTACATGCTTATTTTAGAATGAAAAAATATATTTCACTGATGATGTTACCAATTTACAAGAATGTACTTTTCATTCATGTGACATAGTTGGTTCAACTTCTTCAACAGTTACTGAACTGTCTTTACTTGAACAACCATTTGATCAAGGAAGGTTTTTTTTAACTAGTGTATGTACATCATATTTTAGACAAATTTATGAACATGTTCGCTTATTTATCTACATTTCTTTTATAGACTGAATCGTCAACATCTGTCGAAAAATCTGATAAAATCTTTGATCATAGTAAAATGGATTTGAAGAATTCATACGTGAGAGATATATTTCATATAAAAATTGTTAAATCTCAAACATATTTTACTAGGACAAGAACACCGAGAATGATACTGATGCTATTTATTTACCGAATAATCATGATTCATTCGCTTGCATTGATCTAGAAAGTCAAGAGTTATCATCATGTACTCATTCTAATTCTACTCCACCAATACATGATTTATCTTTTATTCCATCATCACAAAATGAATTACCATGTATTTCGTTGTCAATATCCAAATCACCATCTTCTTCATTAGCATCAATTGAAGACTGTCGACAAGACAATCTATGTGAAATGAAGGTATGCATACCATTCTTATAGAGTATCTTAGACGTATATATTTACTCATTGTTAATTTGAATTCTTAGATTCAACAATCAACAGCTAAGAAGAAACTTAATTTTGACGATTTTATTGAAAGCAGATATACGCAGAGTTTTTCATCAGGAAGCAGCGAAAATATTAATTCAAGAACAGTTGATAATGAAACATATTTAAATGTATCACATGTGAGTGAAATGTTTAGTTTTGGAGAAAAAATATTTAATATATTCGTTTAGGACAACAAATCTTGTGGTATTGGTGATCTTATCGTATTAGAAGATGATTTTCTTGCTTCGTCTAGTTTTATTTATCCACAACTATCACCGCCCATCAGATCTTCTTTTATTTCATCATTATCACCAATTCAACCATCATGTGATTCACCACAGCTAACTCAGTCAATTTCCCCTTCAACGTCAATTGAAGAAACTCAACAAGAGGAATCGTTACTAGTCAAAGTATGTGTGTTATTCTAAAAGACTGGCTTTTTCATAATTTTTTCGTAATGTGATTCTGTCATAGAATTTTAACAAGTACTCTAAATGGTTCAGTTAGCTGTTATTATTATACCTGTCTATCAATATGTATTTTCTTTTTTTTTACTATCTTATAGATTTCTTCTCGTCAACCAAGAGCTTTTCAAAAACAAAATGATAACATTTCAATCCTTCCTAACGATGACAAACGCAAGACATTCTTGTATGACAGCAGCTTCAGTGAATTGTGTGGATGGTTGAAAAACTTGCTGCGTAATGGTCTATTAGTTTCGTTAATAACGGTGCAAGAGAAATATGAAGAAATTCTTAAATCAAGAAATGAAACAATCACAGAAGGAATAATCCGTACAACATCTATTCGTTATCGTCTACGTACCAAATTTAGAAAAAAGATATTATTTACAAAATTGAATAATCGTCAGGGTGTTTTTGTTTCTTGGAATAATTTATCAACCATAACACGTTCTACATTGACACAGTCATCAGTATCCGATGATAGTTGTACATTTCAAACAAATAATATTTACAACAATCAGAAAAACGTATTAAATAAAGAAGCACAGGGAGAAATGTTGGTTCAAATAGTAGAATTATTACGAGCATCAATACGTGATAATATGCATTATCTAAAGAGAGTCGACACCAATAACGATAAATTACTTACTGAATTTACATCTGGTTTATTTTGGGATTGTATTCCAACATTAATAAAAAAATTTTTAGGATTACTTACTATGAACGATGATCATTTTCGAAAGCTTCGAAATAATTTTGAATATTCAAATATATTTGATCAAGATATATATAAATCATGCGACAAATCTTTAAAAATCTCGTCCATTGCTTATGATATTATCAACACAAGATATAGTTCGTATTCGTCACCAAAACATTTATTACTAGGCAATGAAATATATCATCACATACGATCATCTCATTTACTAAATGTTATGAACAGATTTGGACATACTTGTTCATATGAAACAATTGTAAGTAGAGACGAAACATATTATTAATTCTCAGTGAATGTTCTAATTGAGAAGGCACATTTACACGAAAACAATTTTACAATATATTCTCATATTAGATATAAGATACAATATAATAATTTTTTTAATGAAGTGACAAATGAAAGAAGCATCTTCGAATGTCTTTTCATTAATTATCAATTATTTGATATGATTATTTGTCTTTATAACGGTTTCTATTTTAGATCCGTTTACAGAATAAGATTGCTGGTGAAGTATCAAATTTATCAATCACAGATCTACCTTCAACAGTTCAACAGCGACAATCTTTTGCAATTACCGTAGCCGATAACTTCGATCTTAATATAGGTACATTACACGGCGAAAATAGTATTCATATATTGAATCGGATTATAATACAAACATCAACAAATGATGAACTTGAATATGATGTTAAAGAATGTCTGAATGGTTTATGTGTTGATGTGGAGATCGATGTTAATAATAACAATAATAATATAGCTAATAATCTATTATTAAATTCGCATACAGTATGTTCAACAATGATCGCAACTACTAGTTCAACGAAGAAAAACAAACATTATGTGCCATATAAAGATAATTCTTATTATGAAATTTTATTGGCATATGCATTGATGAAACACACATTTAATAGCAGTTCGAGTTTTAAGAAAATTGCTGTTAACAAAATACAAACAGATTTACCATTATTATCCGGTTTTTTTTCAACATATCTACCAAATACACATCGTCCTATATCGAAAATAACATTTCTTCCACCTATCAATGAGAATCCAAGTACTTTAGCAGCATCACAATCGTGTCTGAAATCGATAAAGGCATCATTGATCGACTCAAATTATCAGAAAGAAACAGTGCTTGTTGTGGATGAAAAAATTTACAGTATTTGTATGAAAGTAAATGTTCTTTAATCATTTTATTTCTTCAACACGTTAATACTTATTTATATTTTCATCTGTCGTAGGCAAAACGATTGAATGAAAAGGATCATGAATCCATATTTCTTTATGCTGGTGACTTTCATATAATGAAGAATTATATGATAGTTATATGGGATGTCCTAAATGGATCCGGTATTGAAGATGTACTTGCTCATATTTACAAAGCAGCAGCACATCGATCTATTCTTAATGTTCATAATTTCAACTATTCTCTTCGCTGTTGTAAATTACTTTATACAAGCTTATCAACACTGTTTCTCGATTCATTTATTGAAAGTTTATCTTCTATGTCATCAACATCAACAATCGATATTCAAAAATTAAAAGAAAGTTTAGAATGTATACCGTCAGATTATGTTTTAAATGAAACGAAACAAGAATGGTTTTCCAGCTTTGTAAAGGAAATAAATAATTCAAAGTTTTGCCATTTCATTGATCAATGGGCAATTGAACAGTGTCAACATAATGAAGGATTTCGATTTTGGTATTTTATTTATCGTCAATTACTTGAACCATTAATATTATTGTACATTTCTATTAGATTATCTAACTTTAATGGTATATATATATTTTCTTCCTTTAACATATTTATCATTTTAATATATAGGAAGAAATGCTGCTTTATCTTCTATGGCACCAATTTTTTTTGCTACAAACCATAGAAACTATGCAAGACTTTCCGTGCAGCATTTACTTGATCTTCAATCTTGTTCATCTTATTTATATGAAAGATTAGAACGGTCTTTTGTCGTCAGCCGTACGAATCGTCCTTTCTCATGTATTGCTTTGGATCAAGCAATAGAATGTTCAATTAACAAATATGGTAAAGGCCAAGGTAAAATCTTTTATAAAAGTGTTTATCTACTTTTAACAACTTTTGTTTTTTTTAATCAATTCAGGAGGTATTTCAGGGAAAATGTGCCAGGAAACAATTGAAACGTGGTGCAAGTCATTTGCATTTAGATCAATGCTATCTGCGATTACAAATGAAATATGTGGTATCGAACGGACAAATAATACAATAGATGCACATATCGAATGTACTCCTACTCGAATGACACAAGACACTAATGATCTATCAATTATAACCAACTTCCTGTATGGCGAGCATATATTTAAACCAGATTATACAAATGTAAGAAAAATTTTTAATGGAAAAATTATTCACGAAGATATAATTGAAAATATTGTGACAATGTATGGGCGTGGTTCTCAAAGAATGTATGACTTTATACAGGAACGTTATATAGATTCTTCATTGAAAATTGATGATCGTTTATCAGCAATGTTTCGATTGAAATTATCTGAACCATATGTATCAAATGATGAACATCAAAAAAAAAAGAAAAAACAGAATAATGATATAATTACTAATGTAATAAAAAAAGCTGATAATGTTATAAGAGATATTGTTTGCTTATCAAATTTTCGAGTACGCATAAAACTCTATCTTTATAACAATATATAATCTTTATTATTTTCTACTAGAAACTGGATATGAATTCATTGTTTGCACATGAATTTTCGCCTTCACCACTATCATTATGTGATAGTCAAAATTGCAATTTATTGAACCAACAACAATAATCAGAAGTTTTAAAATTGTTTGAAAAAGATTTCTCAACTTGCTTTTCAACAAATAATCCAACAAAACAAGGTAATAAATGGGCATTGATAGTTGATGGTGGTCCACTTTTAGAAACTAAACCGTTAAAACCAAATGGCACCGTTATGGATTATGCTAAACAATTATTATTAAATAATATTATTCCAGAATTTCAAATATTCGATCGATTGGATATAGTTTTTGATTCTGATCGAAGTAAAACAATAAAATCATTTACTAAACGTCATGCTTCTGATAAAAAGATATATCAGCAATATGATTTGAAACAAAATGATGTTTTAGAGTCTTCAAAATTTTATGAATTTGTACATAGTAACAGGGCAAAACTGGCAAGTGCTATTCGCTCTTGTTGGTCACAAAACGAATTAACGAATTTGTTACCCGTTAATAAACATTTGATTATAGCTGGTCCACAACAAGATACAATTAAATTGATTAATAAGAATCATTCACAATCACTATCATCATATGAAATATTACATCTTTTAGAATCCGATCATATCGAAGCTGATACTCGTATATTTTTACATGTATATGATGTTCAGATGGATAATGACAATGGAAAATTTGATGGTATTATTGTACAATCAATTGATACCGATGTTTTTATTTTATCAGTCGCACATATAAAATTAATTATGTTGTCTAATTATTTTATTAGAAAATATAATACATCTACGAAATCAACAACATTTATCAATATAAAAAGAATTGGTGAACTATTACCAGTTAAATGGAATGTTATTGAACCAACTATATTCTTACCATTGCATGCTATATCCGGATGTGATTCAACATCATTCACCAGAAACATTACAAAAACGAATTATTTTAATACTTATTTATCAAATCCAAATCAATTTCGACATTTAATAGAATTCGGTAATGATGCAACAATTACAGCTGTACCATTAAAAGCTGCCGAAGATATTCTTGTTTCATGTTATAAACAATCGAGAGGTTACAAATCATCATTGGCACAAAGAACCTCATCATCATCATCAACATCAACAACAACAACAACACAGATTACATCATTAAACTTTTTACGACAATATTTAGCTACGAAATTTTCTAAAAACCAAACAGGAAATATTTGTACAAAGCTTCCGCCAACGTCAGATGCTTTTCATCTACATTGCCAACGTGCATGGAAACAGGTGTTCATCTGGAAAAAAGCTTTTGAACCATTTGATTTAATTAATTGTTATCCAATTCAAGATTATGGCTACGATATAACATACGACAACGAATTAATTATTCGGTGGATTAGGAACTCTGAAATGCCGAATGATTTATCTTTGAGTCGTTGTGTGAAATGTACTACCGGTTGTGAACGATGTAAATGTTTTGTTAATAACTTACCATGTACTCCTTTGTGTGGATGTTCAATTGATGAATGCACCAATCGCACAACTATTCAAGTAATATCATATAGTTGTTTTTGCATGATGATTTATATTAATCGAATATTTCCATTGTAGATAGAAAAAAAATCAACACAAAGAACAACACTAAGACAATCATTTTTGTTTAAGAAAACACGTACATTTGATGATACATATGATGATTCAAATGATGATATTAATGACGATGACAATAATGATGATGTGGTTAAATCAATATATAGTGATTATGTAAGCATTATCTATATTATTTCTAAAAAATATCGTTGTTCGATAATCTGTTTAACTAGGGTGATGATGATGATGATGACGATGAAGTTCAATGTGATATATTCTATTCAACTACAACAACAGCTACAAAACCAGTAAAAAGAAAATCAAATTCGAAGATTAATACACCTTCAAGTACACCAAATCAGGTTAGATTAGTTTTAAAAAATTTCTTCCATTTGATTTTACTATACTTCGGCATATTTAGATTATTATCCGTAAAAAAAAATTCTGATCCATCAACAGTATATTCTATTTTCATATATTATATTTTCAAGTTTTTTTAACATTATTTTCATTTACATTATTATTTGTATTTTCAAATATTTTTATTGTTTGTTTTTATATATGATTACTATTTCTATTACTATATTTTTTTAATTCATATAAAATAAAATAATTATCTATTTACTAAATATTACAGTAAACTTATTAGACTCTAGTGGTGATGTTCTCAAAAAAATATTACCTGTTATATATTTGCTTTTTTCACAATAATTTTTAACTAAAATCAATTGAAAAATGTTATCAAAAACAATCAGTTTCGTATGAACAGCATCTCAATGTAACTCTCATTTTGTACATCGCTATGTCGGTTTCTCAGGAAATAACCTCTTTCATGATGTACTGTTAATGAAATTGGTCTCACTTAGCTATAAGCTTATCACAAAATGTGTATAAGCACTTGACAATCCTTTTTATAAAAACATTTTTAAAAAAAATTCTCTCGAGACAAAAAAATATAGATGTCACTAATGAGAAGTGCATCTGCTTTTAATTGCACAAAAGAAACATCTTTTCACTGCTCTGACAGTACACCACTATTTATTTTATAATTTAATTGATCAAAATAAATCTTGATACGACAAATCAGTTGATATCTATTATGTGTTACGGTTTAAACGATTAAAATCGATTAAAACTTATATAATCGGTTGACACCTATTTTTCGACTAGATTTAATCAGAAAATGTTGTATTTTATCATATTTTCTTGATTCTTCTCGAAAAATCGATTTTAATCATGTTTTTTATCGTTTTTTTTTACATGGGTAGTTAACAAAATAATATAAATACGTGCTTCTGTATAGAAAACATATTTTTAAAAGTTGTTATTGATTTTTATTGGATATGTTTGAATATTAATTGGTTAACATTCTTTTTTTGATATTTTGTTTGTATGATTCCTCAATATATTTACCAGGGTAATAAGTTGCAACGACAAATATCGTCATATTATCATTAGAAAATGCTCTACCAATTTCTAATTGTTTCGCATCATTTCAAATAATTTTAACAAAATTTTTTTATTTAGAAAAATCAGGATATTCTCAATTATATTTATTTTTTTCATTATATCGTTGATCGACTGGAACTGAACCTTGAAATTAATAGAAATACTTTAATTGTTATTTACGTTGTAATTTATAATTAAGTGTTTGATAATATAAATTTTCCATTCTAATTACAATATAATTAGGTGGTGTCTCAACAAATGTAATTGAGCTATCTGCATAATGTTGAGAAATTTCATTTCGATTTTCACTTAATACTAATAATAATTGTGAACAATATTTTTTACGATATTCATTATGTTTATCTAATGCTTGTTTTCTGAACATATTTAAAGAATGTATATCTGGATATGATATACTCATCACTAAATTAAAATATATATTTTTTGTGATGATTACAAACGATTTTATTTATATCAAAAGATACGAATAAAAAATCATTTTAAATCACTTACCACTAGGGGTGAGAATTTATTGTTATTGTTATAAATAACAATAACGAAAAAGTTATTGTTACAAATAACAATAACACTTTTTGTTATTAGTTATTTATAACAATAACTTTTTTTGTTATTAGTTATTTATAACAATAACTTTTTTTGTTATTTGTTATAAATAACAGATAAATAACAAATAACTTATATTTTTGAGAAATATTTTTTCTCACCTCATTGTATATTTTAATTGTGTCCGTTATGTAAACTTACATTTTGGAGCGAATTTTCTATATCTCTACTACCGATTTAAATGGTTCAATCAAGATATGAAGCTAGCAGATGTGTCAGAAAAAAAAGTTATTGTTATTTACCTGTTATTTATAACAAATAACTATCATAAAAAAGTTATCGTTATAAATAACAATAACAAAAAATAGTTATTGTTATTTATAACAGTAACAAAAAAACGTTATTGTTACAAATAACAATAACTAAAAAGTTATTGTTATTGTTATTTATAACAACGATATAACAATAACTTCTCACCCCTACTTACCACGACATGATCCACCTGTATAACCATCATCCGACCAAAAAACCAACAACTTTTCAATGTTGCCAAGATTTTATCAATGAAATTGAAAATAACAATCGCAACATGTTATATCTTATTCACATGCCATCTTACAAGCTTGATCTATTTCACAAATTCCTAATATCACACGAGCATCACCATTAGGTATTTCACGTTTCGACTTACATTTTTGTGCTTTCAAATCAGATCCTTTAGAAATATAAATCAAAAAAGTGATTAGAAACAATGACTATTGCTTTTATTTTATAGATATGCCTTTCGAATTCTATTAATCTATTCAACACATTTTCAAAACTCCCCTAATAAGATGCCTTTTTTAGAAAAATAAAAGAGATATCTGTTTATAGTTTATCAATTTTTCTTAAAATCTTATTTTTAGATAAAAAAATTTGATTTTGATGATAATTTTTCGGAATGAATTTGTTTTTCTATTCAACAATTAAAAAGTAAAAAGAAAATGAAGAAATGATCGAAAAAATTAGATATTTAAAAATATAATAAAGAAAGCTAAAACAGAAAACTTTTTTTAACTTATAAAATATTTATATCAATAAATATGACGATAATTATCATAAGTAATATTCTATATATTTTCATTTTATTTTAATGCATTTTTCATTTAAAAAAAAATTCATTCACATCTTATTACTTTACATTAGATTTTCTCGTTGTTTGTTTTTAGGGCGTGGGTGTAGAGTATAGGCGTAGGTCGGAATATCTGGTATACATGAAAATCATATCAACTCCCACACCCATCGAGGTATCGAAAGAATATATATATACGATCAAATACTTGATAAGTTTTTCGAATGCATTACTTTCATCTTTAGTTTATCAGATACAAATAATATTACAACTCTTAAATAATTGTTTAAAAACGATACATGACACAATAAATAATTATTTAAGGGTGGGTGTGGGTGTGGGTGTGGGTGGCACCCACACCCACACCCTCACCTTGTAATTTTCTTTCATCTATAAATGGTAATTCACAGAAATCTATTTTTTCTTGTTCAAGTATGGAGCTATATTCATCATAATTTAATAAACTAAGAAAATAACGAAGCATTTCTTCTCTACCAAAAAATCTAAATGAATAATTCACTTGATAAACAAAATAAAAACAATTTTTCTTTTTTTTACTGTTCAATTTTTCGTGCTTGTCTTGGATGAATAATTGAATTTGAAGGTTGATAAGATGTAGAAATATTTATGGGGTTTATATTATTAAAAGCAGCAAGATGTTGAATATTAGCTGTTATTAAATGTGATATTTGTACATTTGTAGGTATCGAAGATTTTTGTTGAGATAATTGTTGACGAAATTCAGCAATCTCTTCGTGTAAACGACAAAGATCATCTTTAATAACACGTTGCATTTGAACTTGTGTAGATAATTTCGCAATTGATTCTGCTAATGTTATTATCGATGATTCAAGTCTAGTAAAACGTTGATTAATTTCTCTGAACATAAACAAATCGAAATATTTTATCAAAAAAAAAAAACAAAAAAAAAAGATTTCATACTTTATATCAATATTAGATTGCCGTTGTACTATAACAGGCATTACTTTTCGAAAACGATGTTTTTGTCCATTATGTTCAGTTTCAGAAGGTGTATTAGATTTCTTACTAGTTTTTATTGTTTCAATATCATTCTCAAATAATTTTAATAAATCATTATACATTGTTTGAAGATCTAGAAAATAGTTATAAATAAAAATAAGAATATTTAAATGCTTTTCGCTTTTTATCAAACTATTCAATTGTTTTCTCATTTGTCGGAATTCTTTTGAACTTAAACTTGAACTTTGAGTTATATTTGGTGTTGATGTACGAATATTTGCATATCTACGTAATTTAATATCACTAAATTCACTTGTTAAATCAGACCATACATCATTGTAGCATCACTTGGTAAAAGATCATTCTGATGTGCTATATCTATGTGTATAAAAAATTTTAATATTATAATATTAAAATTTGAGGGTGTGGGTGTGGTTGTAGGTTTCTCATCGTCTTACCCGCAGTCGCGCCCATACCCACCCCTCAAGATTTAAATGATGTAGAAAATATAGAGATTGAAAAAGTTATACTGGAAGCATATGAAGCATCAATGAAATTAACTCAAAAATTAGGAATAATAAAATCGTTAAAAAAACATAAACTTGATCAATTAAATACAACGAGTAAATTTATATTTAATGATTTAACTTCGAAGTCAAAAGTGTTTGATGATTCAACAAGAATAAATCATGACAATTACGATCACAATAATTCCAGTTCAGAATATGATGACGGTGACTATGACTTCGATAACAACGCTGAAAATGATGATGCTAGTGAAAATGTTGGCCCTGATGATACTGATAATGTGAATTCTGCGTTTGATGGTAATGATAGTGATGCGAACGGTAGTGATAATAAAGAACCTGGTGCTGATAATGGCAATGATGATTTCGAATCAAGTGACGCCAGTATTGATGGTGACTCTGTTGATGATGATCAGTCACAAGTGGATGATGAGGAATCCATGAAAGATGCTCCCGAGACATTTGCTCCCGCAACAATTGCTTCCCGGACATTTGCTCTCACGACATTTGCTCTTCTGTGATATTTGCTCTCCAATATCAACTGTCGATCTTGAGGGTGAGGTCGTGGATGTGAGTGTGGATATATGTATGAGGGTGTGGGTGCGTTATGATTAAGATACTCATACCACACTCTACACCGCCCACCCACACTCACATTCACACTCACACCCACCCACACCCACACCCACACCCACACCCACACCCACCCTCTAGTTGAAAAGAACAATATCAAGATTTGTTCATAAATAAAAACCTTTCAGTGCTATTATACACTTATATCTTTGTTAAAAATATGATTTTGATGCGTCGCAAACTGAAGAAACAGACTCACTAGGTCAATATGTTTTTCATAGAATAATTTGAATTTTATAAATTGTTTAGCAAAAGAAGATGATGAGTTATTACCATACGGGTGTGAACAATGATACACGAAATAATATAAAAGAATCCATGGGAATCAACGGGAATCCATTGGAATCCACTGGAGCCCATTGGAATCCTGGGGAATCATCGGAATCCAAGCGACCGGATTCCGCTCGTTCCCCCTAGGAAATACCACTGTAAATATGTGTTATATCGCGATAAAAAAGTCTAATTAGAAAGACGAAGTCATTCTGCGCAAACTCATATAAATCATTCTGGAAAGGTACTTGCCAGATATACCTATGGCGAACTAACAGTGTGTGTATGAATACTATGAGGTATGTCATGAGGATTTCTTCTCTAAAAATGTCGTAAAAGTTATTTTTCTTTTGAATGCAAAGCCTTTTTATTGATGATAAATGATGTAGCAAACAAAACAAAAACGCAACACAACATAGACAATGATGTTACTAAAAAGCTGGCTAGAACGGAGAGATGCATGACAAGTGTTATATATCGTCTGTTGTAAGGTGAGAAAATATATAGGTTGGATTTGAGCGAGGAGAGGGAAAGGTTGTACGGTATGCAGGGTGGGTGTGTATGCGGAGATAAAAGATTATCTAGGCACCCATACCCACACTCTTTCGGATATGATGACACTTATTTATTCATGGAAACAACTCGTACTTGACACAACTCAATTATAGCATTCACAAATAGGTCAAAATCTGCCAGCGTACTACGATGATTGGTAATACAAATTCGAATGTAAAGTCGTTCATTGAGTCGTGTCGTTGATGGAATGGCAATACCTTGTTCTTGCACATCATTGACGACCTCATCATTGAATATATCGATGGTTTCTGGATCGAAGTTATTCAGTTCATGAGGTTCCAATCGAAAATTAACAATGTTGAGTGAGACAGGAGTGAGCACTCGAATGAAATCGTGCTTGCTCAACAAACTGGCCAAATACTGAGCTTGATCGCAATTGGCCGCAATGGACTGACCTAGCCGTATAATTCCGTGTTCCTTGATATTAAACCAGACTTTTAGAGCTCGACATGGCCGTGAAAGTTCAATACCCATCTCGCAAAACCAAGGATTATCAGCAGCAAATCCTCGTTTAGTGCCCACCAGATAGTTGCGAGGTGATGAGAAAGTACCGTGAAGCATGCCAATTTCACGCAAGAGCACGCAGCCAGCTGCGTAAGGTGCGTGGAGCCATTTGTGGAAATCAAACGCCAAGGAATCGGCTTTTGATAAACCGGCAATCAAATGTCGTCGTTTCGGATCGAGTATAACAAAACTGCCGAAAGCCCCATCAACGTGAAACCAGATGTTGTTCTCTTTGGCTATAGTCGCTAGCGCATCTAAATCGTCGAAAGCTCCAGTACCTACAGTACCTGCAATTGGAAATAAAGAATCGAATATAAAATATTTTATTTTCACTTCAAAGTAGGAGACTGTGGGACAGTACTGATTTTAGAGAATTTTCGTTGATTATTTTATGAGACAATTTGAACTGTCTCAACTGTTTTTGGGATGGAACAAACAATATTCGAAACAAAACGAACAAATAGATTGTCCTGTAGAGGCGTGGGTGATGAATCAATATTAATATCCATATCCCAAGATAGTCAGTCATTCTTATCGATTTATGAAAACAAGAAGTGTGTTAGACACCTGATCTTTTGGTAACAATATAGAATGCGGCTGATGCGAACCGCCGGCTTTAGAGCAAAGATGTATAGTGGCGACATTCATCACCACGAATGTAGCGCAATGTTGACGAATTACTCCTTGAGGATGTCGATGTCTCTTATCGGTCCAGACCCACACCCTAAATACGACCAAAATCGATTTTTTTAGGGTAAGAGGGTGAAGGGTGGATCTCGAGTTGAAAAGAAGCAGATAATGGTGAGTTTTTGTGACTTTAAGTAAGTCAGGATGACTTTAACAAAATCAAAAGGTGTCTAACATATGCGTAACTCATTCAAACTCACAGAGAATCGTAAATAGTTGCTCAAACCCATTGCAACTTACTAAAGTCAACGGATCTAGGGATGATTTAAGTCAGTTGTTTTCTCCCTGACATAACTTCCATGCATGTCAATTCTTTATACACACCTGCATTTCCGACGATACAGAACGGTGTAAGGCCTTGTTGTTGATCCTCTTGAATCATGTTCTTGAGTGCCTGAATATCTATGTGATATTCTTTGTCCACAGGTACTAATCTTAGTGCCTGGATTCCCAAGCCCAGAAGCTCAAGAGCCTTTGCTACACACACATGTGTTTGTGTTGAAGAGTAGGCCACCAACTGAACCCCCAGTTTTACTAAGCCATCTCGTCTTACTTGATTGAGAGCATGGTAGCGAGCTACAGCTAAACAGATAACCGCCGCCATCGACGTCCCACTGACGATGAGGCCACCGCCAGTCTCTGCAGGAAATTCGAATAATTGTCGCATCCATTCAATAACTTGTCGCTCGATAAGTACTCCACTGTGACTGCATAAACCTACATTTGAGTTCATCGATGCCGCCATCATTTCGGCGATAACACCTCCTACTGTGCCCGACCCGTGTACCCATCCCCAAAAACGAGGATGCGTGTTGCCACCAGAATAAGGTAAAACATTGTTAACAACATCTTGACATACATCTGCAATAGGTTTTCCATATTCGGGTAAAGCCTCGAGCAAAAGACGACGTCGAACATCAGTTGGTAAAGGCACCCAAACCGGTCGATCACGAGCTTTTTCCAAGAAATCCAAGGAAATATCCAGCATCTTGTGAGCTTCAGCACGTGTTGATGCCCAATCAGTCGGATCTAAAGAAGCAGATATCGGAGACAGTTCCTGTTTATGTTCTGTTGACGACTCTATCCTCTTGTGGACTGAAAGATCTACATCAATATTAGCCACTTGATAGTTATGTGTTAATATTATCGAACTCCGACGATACCTCACCTCGTCTAGAGTATCGGGCGCACATAGACTCATTCGACGGACGACTTGTTCTGCAGTCTCTTCGAAACGATCGCTCATAATTGTTTTATCAATGTTGGCCATGACAGCGAATGAAATATATGGTGCAGCTAATAATGGCAAAAAGTGTATGATTTCTCACTGATACTGTTTTCGCATTAGTGGTCTCCGTTTTATACGCAAGATAACCGTAAGTAAAGTATCTTGAGATGGTTTGAATAGTTTTCATTGCATTTGAATAGACTTCATTATATTTCTAATAAC